AATGCGTGATTGCGAAATGCTGTGGTGTTACTTTTACAAAGAGGGTCAATGAAAAAAAGAATGTGGACCAGGGCAATACTTTGAGTTTACACTTACAGCTTGTCCAAAGTCATTCATTATTAATACTATTAGTAATATCTTCGTTAAAGACTTTGATGGCAACAGCTCAAACATGAGAGGTATTATAGGAGAATTTACAGTAACTAGCAGTATTTACCGGTAACTTGCGGTATTTACCGGAAACTCGCGGTAGACTGCGTACAACGTACCGGAAAATAATGCGGTATCGCCCGCGCATTTTGAATGGCTGCATCTGTAGTACCGAGCAACGGGAAGCGAGTTTAGATGGTTTAAATAGCGCTGCCTGCCGCATGGTAGAGCGTGTGCTGATGGATTATCACGTGCGGCGGCACTTGTTATTATGAACCCGCTGCTGGCACTGGTTGGCTCTTTTGTGGGTTAATCTCTGCTGGCTGGCGGTCATGACAGTAGAATAGAATAGAACAGAACAATTCAGGGGGATGGGAAGGAATTTTCAGTAGCATGCAATGTTGTCATTGTTAAGGAACAAGTAATAGGTTTATTCCATGCAGAAAAGAGAAGAGAAAACACAATGTTTCATCTGTGAAGCCTTCTTCAGGTGTGAGGGTCTTCAGGTCAAAATGAAATGCTAGGAATTTGTAATGTAGGGTCCTCTGAACAAATTTAACTTTGATGCAGGACAAATTTATTTACCACAAGCAATACTGTAGTGGCAGTACAGTAGCAGATTGAAGATATGGTTAAAACATTATAACTTTTTACAAAGTATATAAACTTAATATAGTCTGAAGGAGCACGTAAAAACTTTTCCAAAAAAACTACAGTATGTAACCAAATGAAAGACTTTGATGTTTAAAATGTTTAGGAAGAAAGTGGAATACTGGTGTGTATTTTTTATTTAAACTACCAATACCAGCTATATACATTTTACATAATATGTTTATGTTCCTAAAGTAATATCGTTTATGACCTTCAGACGTGTTATGCTTGTCTTCTTTTTGTGCTCAGCTACTAAAATTTCCCTTTAGCTGTCAAATTCCATATAAATATTCAATACTAAGTGTATTAAAACATGCACAGAAAAGAGATTAAATGATTACATCCTTTCACTAACAACCAATGCACCAAGAGTGCCCCTGTCAGTCATTTTGGCCAGCCAAATCACGTACCACGGTACACCGCAGTGAACTGTGGGTAATTGTACGTGGTATGGGGTTGTACTGTGCATTTTGAATGGCTGGATCTGTAAATCCTTAAATTCAACAAATATATTTTTCAATAAATAAAACACCACATTTTTAAACAATTCTAAAACTGTTCCTATTATGTTATTATTTACACATTTATAGGAGACACTGGTCGCTAATAAAGAAGAAAATCATTAGAGACATAATTACATTACTAGAAACATTAGGACAGAGTCCCCTCTGTGTGTGTAGGTAAATAACCTCTGATTTATCTGCTTTTAAAAGTTTCCAGCATCTCCAATTTATACAGTACATGATTACAGATTACAAACATAAAAAGAAAATCATGTTTCAGCTATTTTCACTCTCTCAGAATTCTAAGAAAGATTTATGAAGACATGCAATAAAGTAAATCATATTTACCTTGAGGCAGACTTGTATTGTGAAGAAGATTAACTACATTTGAGCGGTACGAGAATGTCTTATCTATCACTGAACAGAGACCATTATCCTAGTGACTCAAGGCCAATATTTTATAATTCTAAAAGAAATCCATTGGTAGGCTTTTATATTGTTTTATCTGCTGAGGTCCAGTATCTTAACTGTTACCCAGTTTGCATTGAAATTGAAGGACATCGGAGCAGAGTGTTGCTGTGTGCTGAGATGAAAGGTATGGCCTTCAATGCTGTTTCTGTTTTTCTGCAGTATTCCCAAGGCAATCTAACCCATTCTGAAAGGCAGTGATATTCCAGAAGAATTCTCCTTTAGAGGATAGACGTCAGCCTGCATGGGTGTCATGATAGCCAGTTGTAGAGCACAATCTGCCATTGATTTAAAACAATTTATCTCTAGATTAGTGAACACAAGTAACAAAATCATTGGGGTGAATCAGACCAAGCTAAATCCTCTCTGCAAAAATAGTATTCTAAAGAAGGCTAACAGCATTGAGCAGTGTGTGGAACACTTCCTCCTCTATGAATCATCACTACTCCCATCTGCCTCTGTGCCCCCAGGTGCAACACCAATACATCTAGGATATTGTTTATCCCCCCTGCAATTTCAATTTAGAATAATGTAAAGCATCCAACCATTTTCTAACCGTTTCTTCCAATTCAGGGTCACAGGAGAGCAGGAGACCCCAGTAAGCAGCATGGGCAAGGCAGGGTATACCCTGGATGGGACACCAGTCCATCATACGGGTACACACAGACACAAACATAGACATGCACAAACTCAAACCAGGGCCAATTTTCCTAGAAGCCAATTAACCTCCCTGTGTGATGTTAGACTGCGGAAGAACATACAAACTCCAAACAGAGAGCAACCCAGGTTTGGAATTGAACACAGGGTCTAAGCGCTGCAACAGCAGCAATTCTAACCACTGTTTCGCCATCATGTCCTAATGGAAAATGTTCTTTCCATTTTCCCATGGCTTTCCTCTAGGTGCTTTGGTTTCATCCCACAGTCCAAAGATATACCTGTACTCTTAGGTTAATTAGCTTACAGGAAACTTGGCCCTGGTGTGAGTGTGTACGTGTCTGTATCTGTGTTTGCCCTATGATGGACTGGCGTCCTATTCTGAGTGTGACACATCTTGCACTTTTTGCTTGCCGAGAAAAGGCTACTGCTCCCTTGCAAAGCTGAAATGGTTGGGGTGTAATAATAATACATTACACTTTCTTGTTCTTGTTCTTGTTCTTGTTGTTGTTCTTCTTCTTCTTCTTATAGGTCTTATTTGGTTCAAATGTTTAACTTTATTGAATCCTTTTACGAAAAGAGTTTTCATTACAATAAAAGACTACAATTACTGTGTAGTGTGTTTTTCACAAATGAGGAAGAACACACTTTACAAGTACATGAAAGACAATATACAGTTTTGTGCTGATATGACCACTGAGTACAAAAATAAAGTTGATAAAAATATGGAATTTCAAACAGCTTCGGAAGTAAGCCGAAGTTAATTATGTTTGGTCATGTTTTCACCATTTGTGATACTCCAGCCTCAAAATGCCATATTCACTGTTTACTTTCCTTCCATGTGCTTTGTTCTTAGCAATTCATCAAAACTGATTTTTTTAAAATGATTTAACTAAAAGATAATGATTGCTCACTATTCTCTGTTTGATTTTGAGTTCATCAGAGCATTCATCAAAAATAATGCTAAAATATTTATGTTGTGTATCCTTATTTGTGTCTTTAACTTATTTTCCATTTAATAAATGTTTTCTCACATTCCTAGATGCACATGATGACAAATATGATAAATGAAGTCTGATGGTGCCCCGCATAATATGCGCAGATTCGAAGTTATCATTTTTCAAAATATTTTACTTAATCGAACTACGATTAAAGAAATACGCGTTGCTGTAGTTATTTTAACGTTTATTTTATGACCTTTTATATGAAATAGGGGTTGATATCACTGTAGGATGAACAAGGATGGCACTGATCCAGCACGACTCCTCCCTCCGAAACCGTCAGTCAGACATACCAGAGACATAAACAAAAGTCTCACGCATTTTAACCAGATCATTCTAATCCAGCTCATCTGAGTGAAAGGATACAGTATACCGTTTACTTGTATACATCAGTGGGAGGTATATGCCAATAGGGACAAAGCTCTGACAAACAGCAGTTTTCTGGTGAAGGGATATGAAAAACTGAACAAGTCTCAAGTCTGCGATCTGAGTTACATTTTTTTTCCTGAGGTTTGTTAATTTGAGTGTTAATCCCCGTTTGCTTTATTTTTTTTTGTACTTTATTTTTTTCCTACCCGTCGGCCTTTGTATGAAGAAAGTTGATTGATATAAAGTTATTGAATCGGAAATATAATCGATTTGACTTCCCAATCCATAACCCTTTACTATTGATAGTTTGACAAAAGACGGGCTACCCTCCTTTTGGTGTACTTTAATGAGATGATGCTTTGATGGTTCTGGGACTCACAGACGGTTCCAGGGGCCAGGACAGCTTTCAGAACCAGTATGTAAAATTTTAATAAAATACAGAGACTCCACGAAGAAGGTGAGGAACGTAACAGGAGCATCTGCCGCTGGTTTTATTTTCAACTATAAAAACCCTATAGATGATTCCACCAGCTAACATGCTAGAGGAAGACAACATAGAAAAAGAAAAGGAAAACGAACAAGAGCATGATCTGCCTCAATCACCAGCGTCTACTGTCAGCCAGCAAGAATCAAAGGTAATAAATGAAGTCTCTTCTTCGGAGGAGTTTTGTTTCTACCAGAACATGTTTCATTTTCGACCTGATCAAGGGGTATTCTTCATTTTATACTCTTAGCGAATCTCTGTAGTTCCAGACTTATAAAATCAAGTAATTATTCTACAACACAGTTTTGTGGAACAGACGACTGTTTAAATTACAGATTAATATTAACTAAATAATAATACACACATAATTCTAGCGGAATCTGGTCTAAATGTTAAGCATCATACTGTATATAGACATTCTGAGTAGCAACTAAATTCGTAAACAACTAATTATGCAACACCCATCAACACGCAATCTGAATTAAAATTCAGATGAAATGAAAATTTCTCAAGATGGCATTCATATCTTTGAATTGTCTGTTAAATGGTTACAGTAAGTGCATTTGAGATAATGACATTGTTTTCCACCTTGGCATGTTATTTTTTATTCATATTGAGTCATTCTTATGTTTCCGTGTGAATAATTAGAAGCCAGACAGGAAGTCAAAGTCTAAACACAAAAGCATTTTAGATGTAAGGCTGGTTATTACACTACTTTTAAATTAGTTATTGGTCACATGTCTTATACACTATGATCCTATAGTTTGAAACAAATTGAAAAAAGTATTTACAGTGTGCTACAGCATATGAAATAGAATTAATTTTATATCTGTCATTATCAAACTGTCAGACTAGCTTTAACAACAACTTTTAAGAAAGAAATGACTGCTAGCGAACATTAGCTACAGTAGATAGGTGTTGTAATAGTTAATGAAGCTAACAGTACTATATATTTTTCTTTACTATATTACATTTCAAGTTCTTATGTAATATTTATCCAAATGGGATATCCTTATGCTTTTAATGAGTCTAGTATGTTATAATTTAATGTTAAAATATTAGGGTTCACCTTTGTATTTCAAATTATTTCAAATCAGCCCACCAAAAAAAACTTTACCAAAGGTCTCCCTGTTGGCAGTTCATGTACAGTAAGTTTCTAGTTCAGTGACAATTTTCTGGGTCACCTATAGCCTTGAGTGTGAACTACAGTATATTGCAAAAAGAGCATTGCACTAGGTAAAGTTATTGAGGATTAGATTACACTAAGAACTATTTAAATAAGTTTTGTGATATTCTTTCACCAGCATTCACTAGAGATGTGATGATCTTTTGATCTAGTGAGTCCATGAGCTAACCAGTATGTAAAACAATCATGAGATGGAAAGTTCCAGGTGTGAACTACTTCACCTAGTATTTAAGCATTTACTGTTTTGTACTACACAGTGCAGCTGACATTAAAGTATAATAGGCTGAACTAATGAACTACTAATTTGTAAAGCTGGACTCTTCTAGTACAATTGTTTAAGTTGCTAGTAAAAGTACTAAGATTAAATAAGTCAGATTCAGTCAAATAATTTAGAAACTCAGGATTTGTGACTAAACAAGGGGTTAATGTTTCTGTCTCAGCTCTTTTGTCCTGCATTTGATTTCTGGTTGTGGAGCCTTATGTGTGGAGTTTGCATATTCTCCTGTGTTCCTTTGTGTTCTCACCTGGTGCATCCTTTTCCTCCCACAGTCCAAAGACATGTTACCTGAGTTAATTGGCATCCCTGAATTGCCCTAAATGTGTGTGCACCCTGCAATGTACTGTTATTCCATCCAGGATATAATTGCATCTTGCATTCTTTGCCTGCTGGATTACACTCCAGCTCAAAGGCACCCTCTATGAATAAATCAGTTGCAGAAAATGGATATATGAGTAAAATCGAAAGGTGCCCACTTGCTCAGATGACACATAATGAGATGACCACATAACTTCCATACTATAATTTAATTTTGTAATTTGATACTGTATACTATTTTTACATTGTGCTTTTCAAAGGGCCATGAGGAATTGGTTGCTTGATATTCTTACTGTTGCCCAGACACAGTCAGGCATTCCTGTACAGTGCGTTCAATGAATAAAAGGCATGTTTTCAAGGTTCTTTTTATTCTTTTTCTCTTGTGATGAAGGATTGGTTTTCAGGATATCAAAATGACTGGTCTCCCTTTTAACAAAGGCGTTTTCACTGGCCTTTGCTAGTACTCATTTATTGCTTGTTTATTTATTGAAGTAACTTTGTCCTGAAGTAGTATTTGAAAAAGTAGGAAATCTTTAGCCAATTACAGTATTGTATAATATTCTTATCTTTCAAATTCCAGCTATATCACTGGTACAGCTTATACAAGGTCAGTTTTGTCCCTCAAACCTGTGAGGAGAATTTCACTTACCCATGCATAGAAAATTGTCTGCAGAGTATGATTCTCTGCTTAGTGTTGTTTTGGAATCACAAAGACCACGCAAATGACTCATTAAATGATGAGTTAGTGTCTCTAAGAATTTCTGAAGGAAAAACAGTCAGGGTCTTCAAAAACATGTAAGCTTGATGTATTTACTTAAAGATACAATAACAAAATTCAAAGTCAAACAAAACCAAGGTCTTTGTAATATTTTCTGTTTTTCTATTTCCTGCGTTTGTAGTGTACTGTATGTGGTTAAGATCATGGACTTGAACCATCTTCACTCCTTCAAGTACCCAAGCTGAACTGTCCAAACAAGAATAAAACCCTCAGTGACCAGTGTTTTCACATACTGGGTCTTGGATGATGTTACATAGGGGTTTAGAGGTGTGTCACTGAACATTAATCTCCTTTTCTTTTTCTTTGCGAACTGATGAATTAAGTTAGCCTACCTTAAGAAACTTTTCTAAAGTCCTGTATCATTTAAAATAAATGTCAAGGTTGTTGGTAATAAAACTTGATTCATTGTATCCCAGAGTGTCTAAATTGGATTTATGTCTGAAGTTGAAGAAAACAGAATGTCTCATTAGCTCCACATGTTCTCCAATTTAGCTTTTGTTCCCACACATATTACTGTGATTATCACGGTGGGAAGAAAGCAAATAACTTTCATATTTCTGAGCCATTTCCTTGAATGCATCAAGGTGTTTCTTGCTTCAAGCTAAAATCATGACCTGATTATGAGAACATAATATAAATATTTGGGTAACATGCTAAAATGTAATTCATTGATCCAGGCTTTAAATATAAGCTGTTATGTGTTGCTGCAGTATGTGTTGCATAGAAAGGAGTATCTGTTTAGGTTGACCTTAAACTCAGAATACTTTGCAATTGAGTCGTGTAGAGTACTGTATATTGCTGTGTATTCAATTTATAGGCTACAAATTAGCTACTGTATTGGAATCATAATATTTGCTCATCATAAATGGCATTTTTAACAGAAATTAAGAGAAAGGTTTGATTCTAAACTTACCCACTTTTACTCTCTCACAGTAGTATATATATCACTTCCTGAACACCCCTTTGCACATCACTCTCGCCACCCCTTGCGAAAATGAGAGAGGATTTTGTCAGCCTCATGCTTGCAGTTAGACTGCCATTAGGCAAATTATGCCAGACAACCTCTAATACATTCCATCTCTGTATCACACTTACTAGAATCAGACTGAACTAGTTAAAAGCTAAATTTGGTAGATTTCCTTGTGGAATATTTTTGTTATGTGCTTAAATTTACAAATCCGGTTATCTTGCAGTAGCAGTATAGAATTGTAAAAACAAATATAACAATAGCTTTTTTCTACAATATGACATTGAGTATGCTCTCAGGACAACTGCTGCATTTCCTCAAAGAAAAGAAGAGTGAATGGAAACCTTAGTATAAAAAAGAAACCTACACAGTATTTGTCATCTATTTTAGCAGCTCTAACTGCATGACCATCTTTATTCTCAGTAGTAAAGGCTCATCGGTTTTAAAAACACTGAATGCAGCCTATAATTATCTATTGATACTTCTCTTCTACTTTCAGTGGTAATACAAGGTCACAGTCTGACAAAAGACAACAGTGAAATAATTTCACTCATCATGAGTCTATCACATGAAAATATAAGAATTCCAATACTAAGGCAAAGCAATAATGTACAGAACATTTAAGAGACACTAATTGACCTAACAAGCATGTGTTTTGAAGATGGAGGGGGGGGGAACTGGATCACCAAGGGAAAACCCCACATGAACCTCAAAAGAGCATGCAAACTCCACACAGATAGCATCCCAGTTAAGATTAGGTCCCAGGACCCAAGAATTGTGAAGCAGCCATCATTGTGCTATTTCTATATATTGTTTCATAAACGTCTCAAATATATATTACATAAAATGCAGGTACTATATTCACAATAAACTTTTGCATACTCATTTACTTTTCCCTTATACTTTTTTCTCTAACCTCAAATATTTCCTAAGTAAAATGTATTATTTAGCTTTAAAAATGTAAAATAAATTATTGAAACATAACAGTGTTCTGCGGGTAATGTTGAATTTAAGGAAGGCTAATTCAGTGATCTTTCACAGAACCAATAGTTCAAATATGGTGTTTCTCGTAAGACCTGCCAGCTAGTTTATTTAAAACCTTTCCTTCACAGTAAATTGACAATGAAGACACCCACACAATGTACTACCCAGGAGGTGTGCATGTAGTGTTGAAAAGGGTCTGTTGTACAATATGGCTTAAGGCATCTTTTCTCAAGACAAGTGTGTAGTAAATCTTTAAAGAGCTCATAAGTACCTGAAATGTACCATTACAAATACCTATATTTTCATATGTTTAGATATGAAAATATGTGAATCTTCTTTTAATAATGGTTATTTCGCATTCCAAAATGTCAGTGAATTTGTGTACAATTAATGCTGTTAAATAAGTACCAATAAATTTCTGCCAAATGGCATCTGTCCGTGCAATGAATTCAGTTTGTAAAATTGGCTCAATAATAAATGGGCAATATCACAAGTGGCAAGTGATTTTATATTTGTGTGAATCAGACTTTTTGTATGAACATCACATCTGGTGAAAACTGTACATGCACAGTTTTAAAAATAGACTTTATTCTGGTGTGTCATTATGTTCTATAGATTATAATAGTACATGTGTTTTGTGT